GCAGTGATCCCAGGAAGCTGAGGCAGGAAGATGGCTTGAGGTCAGGAGTTTCAGACCAACCTAGATAACATAGTAAAACCCTGTCTCTATAAAAAAATTAAAAAATAGCCAGATATGGTAGGGTATACCTTTAGTCCCAGCTACTTTGGAGGCAATGGCTGCAATGAGCTATGATGGTACCACTGCATTCCAGCCTGGGCAACAAACGAAACCCTGTTTCTAAAAAGAAAAAAAAAGAGTGACAAAATACCCACTTCAAGCTGCTCCTGCTACTAACTTGATGCTCTGAGGACTCATCACCCCTCAAGGCTTAGTTTTTCAGCTGTAGAGAGATCTGCTGATCTCAGAAAATGTCCCTTCCTCTAAAATGCTGGGAGATGTTTAAGAGATCAGAGGTGAGAGACCTTTGTGGGCTTGAGTACTCAGGAAGGGTTCAAAAGAGGAGTGTGACAAGAAGTGGACACTTTAAGCTAGGTCAGACAGGGTAAGAGTAATGAGCTAGGGTGATCACAGTGACTCCACAGGAAGGGATTGATCCTAAGCTTTATGGAGAGGGGCTGGGGTACAGAGGCCTGGGTGGGTCTCTGACCTTTGCCTCTCTATTCTTTCCTCCAGCCTCCCAACCCTATCCTTTCACACCATCCCTCAGTACCATCAACTTTGATGAGTTTCCCCCCATGGTATTTCCTTCTGGGCAGATTGCAAGCCAGGCCTCAGCCTTGGCACCAGCCCCTACCCCGGTTCTGGCTCAGGTCCCAGCCCCTGCCCCAGCCATGGTCTCAGCTCTGGCTCAGGCCCCAACCCCTGTCCCAGTCCTAGCCCCAGGCCCTCCTCAGGCTATTGCCCCACCTGCCCCAAAGCCCACCCAGGCTGGTGACGGAACACTGACGGAGGCCCTGCTACAGCTGCAGTTTGATGCTGATGAAGACCTGGGGGCACTGCTTGGCAGCAACACAGACCCAACTGTATTCACGGACCTGGCATCCGTCGACAACTCTGAGTTTCAGCAGCTGCTGAACCAGGGTGTTTCTATGGCCCCCCACACAGCTGAGCCCATGCTGATGGAGTACCCTGAGTCTATAACTCGCCTGGTAACAGGATCCCAGAGGGCCCCTGACCCAGCTCCCACCCCCCTGGGAACCTCAGGGCTCCCCAACGGCCTCCTATCAGGGGATGAAGACTTCTCCTCCATTGCGGACATGGACTTCTCAGCCCTTCTGAGTCAGATCAGCTCCTAAGGGAGTGACTTCCATCCTGCCCAAAAGCACTGGTTTGCAGGGGATTGACGTCCTCCCAAAGCACTTACGGATTCTTGGAGGTAGGGGAGTGCTCTGCCTGCCCCTAACTTTGGTGATGTCTTCGTTGGGGAGCTCGCATTTTATTCTGTTATTGGCAATAACTGTATCTCTCTCTTTTTGGAGGTGCTTAAGCAGAAGCATTAACTTCTCTGGAAAGGGGGGAGCTGGGAGGATTCAAATTCTTTCTTCTCCTATCCTGATGGTCAGCTCCCTTCTCTATACAGGGAACTCTGGGGGTCCTCATCCCTATCCTTCAGCTTCTGATACTCTCCTAGAGAGAGGAGCAGGCTGGAGTTAAGGCCTTTGATCCTACAAAACCTTTTTCTCAAGTGTCTTTTTCACATCATGGATTCATTACACCATGATCTGAAATAATGCCCATTACCAGCCTCTCTATGGCACTAGCATTGTCCCTGTGCCTAACACCAGCGTTTAAGGGGCTAGCCTTCCTGCCCTGCAGAAGTCTCTGACAGCTTTTTCTTTGCTCAAACTGTGTCTGAAGGGAACTGGTGACAGCGTTGGCTCTAGGATCCAGAGGTTAGGTCTAAGACTTCCTTGCTCTCCCTTTTCTCAAGTGCCTTAATAGTAGGATGAGTGGTTTGGAGAGTGAGGGAAGGCATGCTGGCAGCTCTCCAATCAGGAGGCAGTTTTTACTGAAGAAACAAAGCACTTGGATTCTTGCTCTTTCTACTCTGAATAAATTTGTTGCCAGGCTGCCAAGAGATTTACCTTCTTTCAGCAAACGCCAAACACACATTTTGGTGGTCATGTCAGAGTAGACATCAGTGATAGTTGGTTGCCACATGCATACACACTGTTATCTGGCAGCTTAAATGAAAACAGGCAGCCTAGACAGGGGCGTGTCCCAGTGCATTGAGAGCGCATTGGCTGTGGGTATGGACCAATAGACCAAGACCACAGTCTTCTCATGGGCCCCGTTAGCTACACGTTTTAAATCAATACAGAATGGATCTTGTGAAGGGGGTAACTAGCGTTTCAAGTTGAGTGGGTTAACAGATGAGAGATGGCGCCTGTGGCTCAGTGAGTAGTGCGCCAACCCCATACACCGAGGGTGGTAGGTTCAAACCCAGCCCCGGCCAAACTGCAATAAATAAAAAAGCCCAAGAGCTGGAGGTTGCTGTGAGCTGTGACGCCATGGCACTTTACCGAGGGCTACAAAATGAGACTGTCTTAAAAAAAAAAAAAAAAGATTAGATTCAAAGGAGTCAACTGCTGTGAACAATTCAAGAAGTGGAGCTAAGAATTTTGGACTTCATCCCTTGGGTGGCCAAGAGAACGTCTGCCACTGTTGATGAAGGTATGATGCCAGGTAAAAGTTTACACCTGCCCCACTAATGTTTTGGTTCTGAGAGGATCTGTGAAATCTTAATCCACAGCCTCTCCTGAGACCTAAACAAAGACCAGGCCACAAACCACACGGCTACATATGGACGCACTTCCGGTTGGGCCCAGTGAACGCGCAGCCTCTAAAAGCACCCGCTGCAAAGGGCCTGCGCATGCGCACGCACACGCACACAGATAGCGTTCAGCGACGAAGCCAGGTAGCGCGCTTGGGGGAAATCCCCATGCAAGTCTCGGCGTCTAGTTTCGGGCTTCTCACGGTAGTGGGAGAGTGATGGCAGGAGCAAGGGGGTTCTCGTTAGTGGGCTGCGCTCCAAAAGTTACCGAGTCTCCTGGAACACAATAGGCTTCGGGTGTAAACTCCGATGGACGGTGCCTGAAAGAAGCTGCCAGGGATGGCGGAATTTTGGAGAATTAGGCTCGCGCTCTGACGTCCACTCGGGGGCAGCAGAGGGGGTGATAGAGGGAGGGGCTACAGGGGCGGGACCTGGGGCAAGAGCGGGTCTCCCGGGCCAAACCAGGCTGATCTTCGGCTGAGGGCGGAGCCCGAGCTGGTGGTGGCCGGGTCGGGACCCGGGCAGACCTGCCCGGAGCGCTTGGGAGGCGGGGCCCGAGCCTGGTGGGCAGGCTTCTAGAGCCCAGGGGACAGAGGGAGGAGCTGCGCGGAGTCCCAAGAGGTACGCAGGGAGAAGAGCCCTCCCCGATCCTCTAGGCTAGGCCGCGCCTCCCTCTTGTCAGTCCCAACCAGGTCCCATAGTGACCTCCAGTGACCCTCTCATGATCCTTCTCACACGCCGAGTGATCGCATCATGCTCACGGCTCACCAGTTCCAAATCCTTATCTCCAGCCCAGACCTTGCCCCTGCATGCCAGCCCAGGAACATCACTCTAGCATCCCTCAGGCCCCCTACATTCAGCCTATTCCAAATGACCTCAGCCATTCCCAGCCTGGCCCCCCTTTCCCTTGTCAGCCATGCCTTGCAACCCTCCAGGGGATCCAGCCTGAAACCTAACCACTATTGTGGATGCCACCTCTTCTCTCTTAGCAATTTACATCCAATCCCTCATGAGGTCCTGGAAAATCTGCCCACTTCTCCCCATTGTCACTGCTATCACCTAGTTAAGTCACCACTACCCCTGCTGCTACAGCCTTCTTCCTGGCCTCCCTGCAGCCAAAGAGACCTGACACTCCTCTCACACCATCACTCTCCCTTTAACCACGAGCCATATGGCCAGATCCCAGTTCTCTGTAGACACACACTTGAGAGTGACCACAGCCTTCCACATTGTTCATGAGGGCTGGTCACTGCCCAGAAAAACTGGCAGGCAATCTTAAGAATTGCTAATCCAGGATCCCTAGTGCACCCTTCACAACCCCTCTGTTCCAGCTCCATCTTCTTTGACTCTGGGTTCCTGCTTGTGCCCTGACTCCAGTCCAATCTTACCACTGGTCTTACCAAGATACCTTTGATGTCTCTGCCCGGTGAACTTCTCAACCTTCAAAACTCAGGCCTCATGTTACCTCCCCCAGGAAGCCTTCCTGATGCCCAGATGCTCTGTTTCTCAGAGCCTAGCTCATCCTGCCAGCACTTAACAGACCCAGGGCCTAGGTCTCAGCAGTGAGCTTCAACCAGCCTGGAGAAGGGGCTGGCATAGGTATGTGATGATGTTGGGCAAGTAAGTTTTCTCTCTGGGCCTCCAGTCCAAAAAACAAAGAGTTTAGACAAAATCTAAGTTTGGACCTTATGATGCGTTTCATGGGAAAGGTGGTGGGCTGGTGAACAGAGAGGAAGGTCAAGGGCCAATATATCGTAGGACATGGAACACTCCCCCTCCACTAGGCACATGGAACACTCCCCCTCCACTGGGCAACAAGCAGAGGACCTGCTGCCTCTGGGGTCAGGACCTGTAGGATGTGGCCAGGTAGTTAAGGGAATTCCAGGATTGAGAGCTCAATAGTCAGGACAGCAAATATAGTCAGGACAACAATGCTTGAACTGGGGGCAGGGCCATCGTAGGCACGGCCAGGCTCTCCTTGACCACCAAGCTTCTCCTTCCTCTTCCCTGCAGTCCACCCACTATTCATCTGTCCCTTAAGGAGTGGTGCTAAGACTTAGAGAACAAGTAGTGTAGGTGTAGGGTATGGCCACCTGCTTCCAAATGAAACCAAATAAATGTTTGTGGGAGAGAAGCCCAGGGATGGCCAAATTTCAGAGACACACTCAGTGAGTTCCAGCTCAACTCTGAGCCAGTGTCCCCAGGGCCTATCCTAACTGGTCCAGGGAGCATGGCTGGGGCCTCTGGGGACAGAATCCCTTCCCTGTCATGTCTTGAACACATGTACAGATACAAATAGCAGTGGCTTCTTTACTCCCTGAAGTCCCTTTTCTCTGAAGAATATTTACAAACAGGGACAGGGTGGGGGTAGCTTCCACCACCAAAGAATGGGGTAAGGGAGTGGGGGGCAGTGCTAAGAAACGCTTCCGCGCAGGGAAAGAATTCCTGAGGAGGGCCAAGGGCTCAGGATGATGCTGGAGCCCTGAAAAGCCCAGGTGGTTCCAAGCAGTTCCACCACTAGGCTGAGTCTGGATGTGATGGCTCAGGCCAAGTCGGTAGTGGGTGAGCCCAGTTGCTTAGAGGCCAGGAGCAGGCGAGTGGCTGCGCTCTCCGACTCAGCCTGTAGCCGCCGGTTGTTGTGCCTCAGGCTCCGTACCTCCTCCTCCAGGGCTGCCCTGTCTGCCTTCTCCTGGGGTGGGCAAGGAGGGAGGGAGGTGTCAAAGCAGCTGGCCCTTTTTCAGGGACAGCCCTGTGACTCCCCACATCCCCAGTCCATCCTTCACCTTCTGCAGATCTTCCTGCAGTTTCCTGAGCATGGACTCCAAGTGAGAGACCTTCTCCGACAGGCTCCCAGATTCTGTCCTGAGGATAAGGGGGTCAGGACTCAGTAGGACCAAAGCAGGGGCAGCACCACAGCCCCCCAGTTTCACCTCAATGAGAGGGGCCCACCCTGTCTCCTCAGACTGACACATAACAAGCTGAGCCCAGATAATGGTCAGATGGTGCTCAACTCTAGAGCAAAGGCAGGAAGGGGGTTCACGTTGGCATGGGAAAAGGCCTTACTCAGCATCAGACTTTGGAGTTCCCTTGGAGTCTCCACTCTCTGGGATGGGCTGTCCTGTGGGGGAAGAGGGCCCATGTAGTCAGGTCAGAAAGGGGAAAAGAGCACTGTCCTAGGTCCCACCCCCAGCACCTGGTAGCCTTACCCTCCCTGGACAGTGACTCCAGAATGGTGTTGCAAGTGGAGGCAATCTCCGAGATAGACTGCCATTCATCCTCCAGAGTCTCGCTGCCTGCCTGTGACATGACTGTAGGCACAAAGAGTGGGCTCAGATCAGGCAGCCAGGAGCACTGCCTGCTCTTCCCCTAGACCTTCCCTACTGTGGACTCACTCTTGCTGATGGAGTTCCGCAGAGACAAGGTTCGTGGCAGAAAGGAGGCCCTCAGCTCTGGGGCCGGGTCATCCTTGTCTTCAGAACCACTGAGATGGTTAGGCCCATCCTGAGGGACAGAAGTGGATGTGGGTTCAGTGATACCTATTGTCACCACTGTGCCATTGGACTCTAGAGCCTTGTTTCTGCTCACCTGGGTGGGGTGTGTCTCCCTATCAGCACCAGGTGTCAATGACTTGGCTGTGGTGGCCAAGAGGAGGTCTGGGGTGGTGTTGGGCAGGACTGGGGCCTCATCTGACAGGGAGCTAGGGAGAGCAGAGGGGTGCTCAGAACCAGAAGCTGTCGTCAGAGGCCTGGAGGAGAGGGAAGGCCAAGAGTATGCACCTGTGGGATGAGGGCGAATTCTGGCTGTGCAGGAACTCAGTCCGCTCCTCAGCCAGATCCTGAGGCCCTGGAGGGCCACTGCCATCTTGCAGGCACAGATGTAGCAGCTGCTTTGTGACAGGCAGCAGGACCACCCTTGGTGCTTCCTCCTGAGCTGGTTCTGGGTCCCCTGGCTCTGGGGCCCCTCGCCGGCTGGGCTCCTGCAGAGACAGCTGGTACAGCTCCGAAAAGCTCCTGGTTGGGGAGGGGCAGGGTCAGGCAGGAATTCCCAGTTCCCTAGCCTACTGCATCACCAGCCCCACCCTCAACTGCTCCTCAACTGTGGTGACAACAGTGAAAACTGTTTGTCTGGTTACTGGCCTTTCTTTTCTTTTTTTTTTTTGGAGACAGAGTCTCACTTTGTTGCCCTCAGTAGAGTGCTGTGGCATCACAGCTCACAGCAACCTCCAGCTCTTAGGCTTTAGGTGATTCTCTTGCCTCAGCCTCCCAAGTAGCTGGGACTACAGGCGCCCTCCAAAATGCCCAGCTATTTTTTGTTGCAGTTTGGCTGGGGCCAGGTTTGAACCCTCCACCTTCGGTATATGGGGCCGGTGCCCTACTCAATGAGCCACAGGTGCTGCCCTTACTGGCCATTTTTTGAAGCCATAGTTCAAATTCCAGTGCTACTCCTGTGTATCCTGAACAAATCACTCTGAACATCAATTTCTCCCTCTGTGAAATGGGGATAAAGTGCTGACCTCATAGCATGCTGTGAGGGTTCAGATAACAACACAGATACATAACTTTGCATCCAAAAACTTTGTCAGGAACCAAATTCAGTCCTTTTCTTTTTTTAAGCAGATGTGCCTGTTTCTGTACTCCTATGAGCTAAAAATGGTTTTTATATTTTAACTAGTTGAAAGAAATCAAAAGACTATTCAGTGAAATTTCAATTGAAATTTCAGTGTCCATAAGCAAAGTTTTAGTGGAACACAGCTACACTTACTCATTTACCTACAAGGACAGAGTAGTTGCGGCAAAGACCAGAAAGTCTATATTATTGTAATATTTACTACCTGGTCCATCACAAAAATAGTTTGTCTACATATGGTTTAGCATAATAAGGAATCCATAGTGTGTATGTTGGGGTGGGGGCGGGAAGGCAGGGACTAAAACTAAAAAAAAAAGGGAATGGAATTTCACTGATCTTTTGAGCAGTGAAAACAACGTGTTTAACAGGTTGCATTCTATATATGAAGAAAGTGCAATTTAGAGAAATTAAAAGACAGGGGATTCTACCACAAAAGGTAAAGACTTTCACACGGGATTCTGGAGAAAAAGCTGCTGGCGACACGAGAGGCACAGGCGGGGTGGTGGTCACTGCCCGGCCCTCCCACGTCCCCAGCACGCTGACCTGCGGGGCCGCCCGCTGTCGTCGGGGGGCAGGACGGTGACGCAGACCTTGGGCGCTGAGCGCAGCAACTGGGCAGCAGCCTCGGGACCGAGGCTGGGCAGCGTCTGGCCGCACACGCGCAGCAGACGCGCCCCGGGACGCAGCCCTGCCGTCTCGGCGAACGTGAAGCGCTCCACATGAGTGACGAAGCCCTCGGCGTCCACCTCGAAGCCCAGGCGACCTTGGCCGTCGCGGGGCAGTGCCAGCTCGCGGGTCTCACAGCCCCTGCTCACCAGCTGCGGGGGCAGAGTAGGGAGTGGGCGGGCCTGACCAGAGGCGGGGCCTCCTCAGCACCGCCCCCGGACTCCGCCCCAGGCGGCACAGATGTTTCCACCGTGGCGAGGGAAGCATTAGCAGCCCACCCGACAGAGGAAGATCTGAAGCTTTGAGATCAGAAAATCTCAAAATCTTGCCCGAGGGCCACCAGTGCTAACTCTGCTAAACTCTCAGGCTGGCTTTGCCCCCACTCGACTTTCCCTTTCGCAGGAGGGGTGGCAGGAAAGAGGGATTCCAAAGGCAGCTGTCCCTGACTCTCGGTGAGGATTGGGCGGCAAGTGCCCAGGCATCCCGCGCTTACTCCCGAGATTCCGTTTCCTACTCAAGCTCACCTGTAGGCGCGCCACCACCTCTCCCACCGCTTGGCCCGGAGGACCGTCGAACCGCAGGGTAATCGCCTCTCCGCGTCCGTGGTACAGGTCGAGCTGCAGCTCGGAGAAGGTCCAGGCTAGCACGTCGCGACAGGCACAGTTAAAGACTACGCGGCCGTCGCGCGGCGCCACCAACACAAAAGCTTCGGCCGAGATGCCCAGTAGGCAGGGCACCTCGGTGCCATCGGGGCCTCCAGCCTCGGCCCCGGCTGCGACCCGCGCCCCGGGCGCTGCGCGCACACCCCACACCAGCGAGCCCGCCGCCTGCAGCTCAGCGCCCTGGCTCCGAGGAGGTGCTCGGCGCCTCCCGCCCAGGGAAGGCAGGCCGAAGCGCGAAGCCGAGTCCAGCGACGTAGTGGTCACTTCATTCGTGGCCAAGTCCTGCAAATACTGCTGGCGAGTGCGCGTGGCCATGGCATGGAACTGGCGTGCGTGCCCGGCCGCCTGTTCGCCATTGAGCGCCTTGGCCAGCAGGAAAGCCCGGAAGTCTGCGTTGGCTGCAAAGGGGCCTCCGCCACGGGGCAGGGCTGGCCCAAAGGCCGGGGTGTCCTGAGTGCGGCTCACTGCCACCCTGCGGGTAGAGATGCCATAGTGAGGGGCAGCTAGGCTCAGTGCCCACGGAAGACCTGAGTCCATCCAGGCGCCCACCTGTAAGAGGTATGTGGGGTGCAGGGGGCATGCGCCCGCACCACTAGGAACACGTGCTGGAAGTGGGAGCGGATGGTAGTGGGGCAGAAGGGCTTACTGCCAGGTTCCTGGAACACGATGGTCACAATGTCGTTGCCGATATGGCGTTTGCGCAGGAGCTGGGGGACAGATGAGGGGCATCAGGGGAGCCATGAGTTCCCCAGGTCCCTCTCATTCAGGCAGGGCAAAGCCAAGGTGCCAATGGCTTCCCACCTGCCCAGATGAAGGCCTGGGGGTGTTTGTCTTTGGGAGGGGGCCATCAGAGCAGAGGGTTGTTGGGGTCAACAGAGTTCAGGCCAACCAAGGCTCAAGTACTGTACACCTACACAGCCCTCTCAAAGATTCCTGGGACCCCACTCCCATCTTCCTCCTTCACACCTGCTGCTGGTTGTTAGGGGTATAAGGCAGCATCGTAGACACATGGAACATGATCTCGTGGTCCTGGTACGTGGTGTAGAGGGAGTGTGTGCCCGTGGAATCCGCTGTGGTTGGGGACACAGAGGGAAAACAAGAGGAATCTGGGTGGCTTGAACCTGCCATTCCTGCCTGCCCCAATCAGCAGATGGCCAACCTCTCATGCCACCAGCCAATGCCCAGCCCACAAGATCCAAGGGCCTCAGCCTTGGCTGCCTCTTTCCCCTCCCCACACAGGCTCCAGCACATGCTAGGGCACAGGGGTGTCAGGATTCGGTGGTGAAGTAGAATAAAGACAGAAATGAGAAGTAGTTCAGAGGGAGGCAGAGGACAGGTGTCCCAGAAAAAGACAGATGTTGGCCCACACACAAGTGTGTGGCATGCTGACAGAGTGGAATTTAGGCAAGAAGTGTTCAGTCACACACCTCCCAGGGGTGCTGGGGTCCTTCCTTTCAACCAGGGAGGTAGGGGTACCCTTCTTTCTCCCCATCTCAAAGGCTAGGTTGCTGGAACTTGTCCCATAAAGGAATGGTACCCACAAACCACCTTGGCCCCAGCTCAGGTAATTCTGACTCCTCCTCTTAGTCCATAGCTTTGCCCTTGCACCCCTGACTCATGTCCTCAGCTTACCCAAAGAACTCTCCAGTTCCCAGCCACAGCCCAAGACAAAATGCACAAGAGTGACAAGGCGGTTAGTTTTAACCAAAGAAGCCTACCCTTAACTTGGGTCTGTCCCCATCCCACCAGCCCCCTGGGCCTCACTTTTGGTGTCCAGCTGGGCCCGGTAATTCTCAAAGCCTTTGAGCCGCACCACATCACCCAGCAAGGTGAGGAATTGCATGAAGGCAGATCCTGCATCCTGGTTGTTATACATCTCCTCCTCTGAGCCTTGGCCTGCCCGGCAGTACAGGATGCCCACTTTGCGCTGGAAGCTCAGCTGGAGAAGGGGGTGGGCAGAAAGCATAGGCCTCAGGCCTCTGCCAGCCCCACCCCCACTATGTCACAGAGAATGAACAGGACAATGGCCCAAGGACTGGGTTGCCTCAATGTGTGGCCCTGAGCACCAGCCCTCTAAGCTTGCCTGTTGAGTATAGTCTGTCCTGCTCCTGGTGCTCAGCAGGGGAGTAGAGAAGGTCACAGGTAGGAAGGGATGGATGGGAGGGGTGTGATTCTCATGTTTCAAAAGAGGAGATGATTCACAGAAAGGACCCTGCACACAGTGTACTTGCTCCCAGTAAATGTTCCCATTGTCATTCTTATCTCAAGGCTAGACTGTCCTCCCCACCCTTGAATCTGAGGCACCCCCACCCCAACTTCTGCAGACTTTGAGCCACCTCTGCCCCCCTCTGTTCTGTTTCTGTGTCCTCTCTGCTCCCAGCTCCCTTCTGTGGATAACCATGCACAGCTCAGGGTACTCTGAACCCATTCAAACAACCCAGGTTTCCCTCCAGCTCTCACCTCCCTTCCTCATAGCTAAGCTTGTCTATACTCAGTCCCCATTTCAATTTCATCCCTCCCAACCCTCTGTAGCCCACAAATGTGGCCCCCTCTTGGCCATAGTTAGCACTGGGGACAAATGGAATCTAGATTTGAGGCCCCAGGGATTCCCCCCGCTTCTGCCTGGGCCTCTTCACCCACTTTATTGCAGCTCTTCCCCACCTCAGTGGCTGCAGCAGCCACCTCCATGGAACAATACCTCCATCTCTGCCTTAAGCCCAGACCCTCCCCTCCCAAACTCCATAGCTGTTTCTCTAGCTTCCTAGATGTCCTTGTCTGGCACCTAGGCACCTCATCTTCTTGATATGACTCCCTCACTCTACTTGTCTTTCATAAAAACACCACTCCCGGCTTGGTGCCTGTGGCTCAAGTGGCTAGGGTGCCAGCCACATACACCTAAGGTGGTGGGTTTAAATCCAGCCTGGGCCTGCCAAAACAACAATGACGGCTGCAACCAAAAAATAGCCGGGCATTGTGGCGGGCACCTGTGGTCCCAGCTGCTTGGGAGGCTGAGGCAGGAGACTCGCTTGAGCCCAGGAATTGGAGGTTGCGGTGAGCTGTGATGCCACTGCACTCTGCCCGGGGGATAGCTTGATGCTCTGTCTCAGAAAAACAAACAAACAAACAAAAAAAAAAAAAACCCACCACTCCCAGTGGCTGGGCAGCTAGAAGAGCTCAACACTCCATACTCTCTAATCAGTTACAGGGCCACCCATTCTGCCCCTGACACTGTTGCTACCATGTCTAGCCTTGACAACTGCAAGAATCTTCCACTTGACCCCCTGCACTCTAGTCCCCATGCTGCAACCAGTGGGCTACTATACCTCTCAGGTGTGCTTTGAATCCTTCCATGGCTCCCCAGTGCCCATGGGGACAAATGCAAATTTCTCCCCATCCCATGCTATCCCACCAAGCCCTATTCCAGCCACACTGAACTGTCCAAATGTGACACACTTTCAGTCTCTAAACCTTTACACAAGTTGTTTTGCCCAGAAAACCCTGCTCAACCCTGTCTACCTAGAAAACACTGGCTTATCTGGGCTTGAGCTCTTATGTTTCTTTTGTGCTGGGAACTCTGGCTGAGGAAGGGCCATCACCACTGCCTTTGTGACCCCAAGGAGCCCTTGATACCGCCCTTTGGCTATTATCCTGCTTCTGTATTTCAACAATTCTGTGGGTCTCCCTCTACTACCCAGCTATGAGCTACTCAAATACCTGGTCTGGACCTATCCCCAGCTGCCAGTCTGGGGGCTGGCACCAAGAAGGTGTGAGGAAATGTTTGTTGAATGACTGATGGGTTGAATGAAACTGAGGAGGAGACTCAGCCAGTGGGCAGCTTTCTATAGAGTAGGGAATAACTTCCAACTGGCCTTATGTCCCAGAGTACACTGGGCAACTCCAAGAAGCAGTTAGCACCACTCATCTGGCCTCCTCATGAGTTTTTAAAGGGCAGACTCTGATTTAATAGGCCTGGGGTGTGGCTCCAGAATCTTCATTTCTGACAAGCTCCCAGATGATGTGGGTGCTGCTGGTCTACAGACCTCACTTTGAGAATCAAGGTTCTAGATGACTTCTGATGCCTTCTATCTGAAAAACTAGGGGTCACTGCCCATCCCACGGTCAGGGTCAGAGCTAGGGGGTTGAGAGCTAGGCACCCTGGATTCAGACCAGGTCTAGCTATAAGGCTGGGGGCTCCCTGGCCACTCACCACTTGCTCATCCAGTGTGAGCAGCGTGCGAGGCACCTTGGGTGAAGCCGAGCCTAGGCGCAGACAGGTCGGACTCAACCTTGGTGCCACGTGCTCCAGAAGCTTCCTTGGGGACAGGCCCCGAGGGGGCCCCGGTGGCAATGCATCCTCCGAGATGGTGCCACGGAGGGTCCGGAGCTGAGGATGGAGAGTAGGGGAGCTCAGAATCCATACAAGGTGCAGGAAAGGCAACCCACGGCCTGAACCAATGACCCCAGCCCACCTGTGTGGTCCGCACGATGACACGGTAGCTGTTCAGGGTGCCCCCTCCACTGCCTTCCTTCTCTTCCCGCCGCAGGCTCACTGCCACTGGGCCCAGCACCTCGTCCAGCCCAAAGAAGTTCTGGTGTTCTAAGGGGTCAGGCTGTGAATGATCAGTCCCACCCAGGCAGTCCTGCCCACACCACCATGCCCATCATTAAGTACGCATGAGGCTCCAACTTACCACCAAGTGTAGGGCCTAGGCTGAGCCCTGCCCCCTCTGTATCCCCACCCATATCACTTACCCACCCAGAACTAGAACCAGGGCCCTGTTTCTAGGCCTAAATCCATCCTGCCTCAGTGCTGCCCACCACACCCACATTCTCCCTTCCTGGTCCTGAAGCCCTTTCTTGGCAGCAATGCTGAGAACCAAGAATCCCAGGTGCAGGGCTCTCAGGCCTGAGTCTTCACCTCACAGGAATGTAGACAGGAAATAAACCCCTATCCTGAAAGGTTATGATGATGAACCAGATGGAGGCAGAGGTATTCCCCGGCTGGGGGCGACAGGCCAGGGTTGGACTTAAAGAGGGGTCCAGAAGGACCCCAGCTCAGCTCCTGATCTTTCTTATGGCTAGGGACTTTAGAGGGAAAGAATAGTTGATGAATTCTACTGTGTGTACTACAGTGACAGGGACCTCTGCCCCAGATCTTCCTGTCCCACTTTGGGCCTGCGTTCCCCTCACCTTTGCCATAGAAGTACTTGCGGTAGTAGCCAGCACCCAGGTCTGCATGCTCCAAGCTGTAGGCTGAGGTTCGGTTCTGTGGCTCCTCCAGGATAGACACAGCCGCATTGGGCAGCGTGGGGGGTACAGGTGGAGGTGATGGTCCACCCAAGCCTAGCTCACCCTCACCCCCAAGCTCACACACAAAGCCAGGGGCCCCAAGCAGCAGGTCTGAGCTCACAGCCTGGTCCTCAGCTGAAGCCAGTGTCCCAGAGCTGGCCTCAGTATGGCCCCCCATCCCTCGTGGCCTTGGAGCCCAATCAAAGAGCAGGCTCTGTACATCATAGTGGGCAAACCATCGGGGCTCAAGCACTGTCGGGAAAGCAGGCTCGGGTTCCTCTGCTGGCAATCCTAGAAGTGCTAGCGGGTCAGTGAACAGACGTGTAGAAGCTGTAGCAGGGCGGCCAGCCTCTTCATGGCTGTGGGCGCGGGCACGGGGACTGGCTGGCGTGGGGGGCCTGGCCTCGCCTGCATCGCTGCCACTACGCAGGAGTGGGCCTCGGGCTGTCCTCGGCTCAAAGGTGTGTGGTGTCAGTGGAGGCCGTGCTGGCTGGCGCAGCTTTCGGGCGAAGAGGTCATCTGTGGGTGCAGGGGCCATGCCCCGCCGAGGGCTGCCCACACCACCAGCCCACATGGGCACGCTCTGCCAGCCTTACTTTCCAGGGCCCGGGCCGCATTGGCGGGCACAGGTGGTTAGTGCCCAACCAGTTGGCCAAGATTGTGGCAGCGGTTCCTGCCCTGAAAGAGGAGGGGGCTACTTAGAGGGACCTGGGGAGAAAACAGGAACCCAGGCCCCCAGCCCGGTCTTCCACCACCCGTTTGGCTTCCGGCCCCATCCGAGACCATCAAAGCTGCTTCCGCTTTCCTGGCCACTTCCTTGTCTGCCTAGGGCTGAGGTTTCCAGCCCCCTCCCCGGCTTATCTGGGCTGAGCCAGGGGCTGGGTTATTGCACCTTGGCCCTGAGGGCCCTGGCACCTGGGCAACCCGGGGGCTGACAGTGTCTCCTGGTTCCCACCCACACAACTTGGCCTTGGCTTGGGCTCGGGGTAAGGGTCCTGCAAAGGCCTAGCCCAACTGTACAGACAGCTTATCTCTGGAGGGACGGAAAACCCATTTGGCCACTGGTGTCTGGGTCTTGCCTACTTGACAAAGGGAGGACGTCCTGTCCCCAGAGACCTTCCTCCCTGCCCCTCCCACTTCCTTCAGGGTCCCTGGGGAGCTAAGCACCCAGAGGCCTGGTCTCAATGCCCTAGTCCTCACAGCCTCCATACCTCAAGGACATAAGGGTTCCCAGGGAATAGTGGCAGCGCAGCAGGAATGACATGAAGACTTCCTTCAGCACAGGAAATGGCCCCAATTCTGGGCCCAGCTCCCACCCCAGCCCCCACATCCTGAGAAAGGTGCTGGGGTCACACCAGCTCAGTCATGGGACCCAAGTCACCTTGACTTCAAGGACAGGCCCAGGCCCACTATTTTGCAGGCTGCTATGCCTGTGCCTGGGGAAAGAGAGGAAGTCATACTGACCCAGCCCCATTGCTGGAATTGGAAGCCCTACTGACTTCTGCCTTCTTGGTCTCACTGATGTGGACAGGAGGGCTGAACTCCAAGTGACAGGAGATCAAAGTGCAATGCTGTTGCCTGAACCAATTCCATCAGAGCTAGGATCTCAGCTTGGTCTGTCAGTCTCCAGGGCCTAAACTGAGTTGCACCTGCCCACTGCTGTGTGCTTAGGTATAGAATGAGTGGGGGTTGGACTGAGGCTGAAGATCTCACAGGATGTAAAACTGAGACACTCAAGGCCCCGGGGTCCTGTTTACTGCGGAAATGTGACAAAGCCAGAGGCAGATGCTAAAGGTGGGGTGAGAACTTGAGGGGAAACCATGCCATGGTAAGCCCTGGATAGAGCAGTCAGCCAGGACAGAGAGTTGAGCACCCTCCACTGGGGTACAAGTATGTGAGGTTGGCCTCTGTGCATCATCTAATGGCATCACGTGGAGCTGGGCTCCATGTTCCCCTTGGCTGGGGCCTCAAGAACCAAGCAAACGTAGGCCTCCCTAGCTCTGGAAGCATCCTACCTTGGTTTCTCCTAGGATAAGTTCTGATGCTGACTTTGAACTGCTGTTTTCTCATCTCTAAAACAGGGTTAAATATTTCTGTCCCCTCTAAAGACTGTTGGGACGTTGAAAGGAGTGAAGCAAGTGTGCTTAGCCATATGTGTGCTTGGCAGATCCAGACCCTGGTCCCATATGCCAACCTCTGGACACATGCATGCTTGAGCCCAGACCCTGGTGTGGGAGGGTGGGGGAAAGAGGTCATGAGGGGAGTCTATGCAGGCCCTGCTCCATATAAGATGTGGTCTGCATGCTGTGGGTTAGCTCTGTTAATGTGTGTGTGCCCAGCTCGGGAGCTGCCTCTTGTTCTGGCCCAGCCTTGGAGGGTGTTCTTCGGCTCTACTCTCCACCCTGCAGCTTCACACAGGGTCCATTGAGGCCGGAACATTCCTCACGGCCTGTGTCACTGGGGGGGCTGCCCCACCCCCACAGATCCGGAAGGCCTGGCCGGCCCAGGAGGAGGCGCTGGCCGCTTCCCAGCACATCTGGAGGTCATGACCCCATTTCTGCTGCTAGGGGGCGCGACAGATGTTTCCTCCCAGGCCAGGCCAGAGACTGGGGGTGGTGTGCAAAAGCTGGGGAGGAGACAGAGCAGTAAGAAGGGGAGCCCCCCACACATTTGGCAGCATGGGCAGTCGCCAGCGCCGCCGAGAAGAGCCAGTAGCTGCCGCATCCACTCAGGTCACTAGCCCGGCTAGGCCATCTCGCAGAGGAGGGGACAGGAGTGGGGAGCCAGAGGCAGAGGACTGGACAAATTGACTCCGGACTGAGCTGGAGTCCGGAGGTTGGGAGTGTGCAGGCGGCGAACTTGGCGAGGAACCACACCATGCACACACACCACCAGGGCCCACGGCTGGACAACCTTCTCCCCTGTCCGGCCGAACAGCGGTGCCTCCCGTACCCCCCCCCCAGTACCTCTGGGGCTCCCGCCCGACCGCCGCCTCCCGCGCTGGGGTCCCGCGGCTGCTCTCCCGCTAACGCTCCGGGCGCCGGCTCCGCCTGGGGGCGGAGCCTTTCCGGGGGCGGGGCCTCCTCAGAGGGGCGGGGCCAGCCGGGAGTCCGCCGCCGCGGGCGGGGATTCCGGTTCCAGGCCTGGAGGTGGTCAGCCCATCCCAAGGCAAGCTTAGCCCTGGCGAGCCCTCGGGCCTCCAGGGGCCACAATGACTTACTTCGGTCGAGCCTCCAGCTGCCACACTGACTCTCTCAGGCCGTTTCCTGGGCTGAGAAATTAGTAAAGTGTACCTGCTCTACAGACCATACAGGAGAGCTAGAGGAGTGTCCTGCTGTGTTTGGCATACAGGTGTTCAGGAACTGTGACTATTACATTAAGCACTTACTAAGTAATGGGCTCTGGGAAATTGCTCTACATATGCTTTCTTATTCTCAATAATACACCTTAGACAGGTGTTATTGCTTTATAACTTGGAGCAACTGAGACTCAGATAAAGGTTTTAGGCTCAGCGCCAGTAGCCCAGTGTTTAGGGTGCTGGCCACATACACCAGGGTTGGCAGGTTCGAACCCGACCAGAGCCTGCTAAACAACTGCAATCAAAAAATCGCCGGAGGCCTATAGTCCTAGCTACTTGGGAGGCTGGGGCAAGAGAATCGCTTAAGCCCAAGAGTTTGAGGTTGCTGTGATGCCATGACACTCTACCAAGGGTGACATAGTCTCAAAAAAAAAAAAAAAAAAAAGATTTTAGCCAAGATCAAGGCTGTTAAAAGCAGGAGCCACTAGAGCTGGAAGTCTTTGAACATACAGGGATGGGAAATGAAACATAACCACCTTCACATTTAGGCTTGGAAAGGCAACAGCCTTGTGGGGAAGAAGACCTAGTCTTAACCTGAATTCCACCTTGGTCCGACCTTTGGTCTCTACCATACCCCAGCCCTGCAATCTTCACCCCTCCTTTCTGTGCTCATGTTCCCTGACTTGGCCATCTCCACCCTGTATCCATTCCTAAGTGGAAGAAGAAACTGCCAACCAAAATCAAAAATAGTGTTATTAATTCTGGTGTCTCTGAAGCACGGAAAAAAAAAGAAAAAAAAAAAAACCCACCCTTCCCACACTTAAAGCCCCAGTCCAGGCCAAAGGGGCCACCCCTACAGGCAGTGCAGACCCAGGGGCTGAATTGGTCCTGGCCACGGGCTCAAAGTGGGACCAGCCCATGGTTCGGCTATTAGGGCCAGGCTGGGAGGCTGACTGCCTCGGTTTGGGAAGCCCAGACCCAGACCCTGGACTAGGGAGGAGAGAGACCAGGGGTCAAGGTCAGAGGTCTGGGCCATTTAGTTCTAGTACTCTGGCTGAGGCAGCCAAAGGTCAAGGTTCAGACATGAGTCAGAGCCAAAGCCACTCAGTTCTGTGGTCCAGCATAGAAAGCCAGAGGCAGCACAGGGAATCCAAGTTGCTGAAGTCCTGGGATGGGGTCCAGCAGGTGCCAGGCTAGTCAGTACTGGTGCTCTAGCAATGGCTGGGCTGCTGGGCTCTCACGCTCCTCAGCAGGGGCAGGCCAGTCGCCTGCAGTCCCAGTAGGTGTGCCACCTTCAGGGGCACTGCTGTCCAAGCAAGGAATGTCCTGGGCTGCTCTAGGAGGTGAGGCATCAGTGCTGATGTCTGGGCTGAGGCTGAAGCTGAGGCTGAGGCTGAGGTCTAGAGGCGCCTGGGAAAGACAGAGAAGTTGGCGGGCAAGCAAACCTGAGTCTCCAGCAATGTGACCTTCCCACAGACCCCTTACCTGAGATTTAGGGGTACCTCCTTTAGGGCTCCCTGAGGCTGGCTCCCCATCAAATCCTCCCAGCCCCTTCCGACCCCCAAGGCTCCACTTCCCACTGGGACCCTCAGAACAGAGGAGACCAGGGCCAGGGGGCCGTGAGGGCCTGACACCCTCAGTGGGGGCAGGTGAGGCAGGAGGTGGCCCAGGCAGCCGAGGCGGTGGCCACTGCAGCAGAGCTGGGGGACGTCCATCACCAGAGCTGCTCAGGGAGGGCCGCGGCCCCCAGCCAGGGCCTGGTGGGAGGGGTTGGTCACCACTGCCTGTGGGAGACAGATAAGAGCAGAGACCTCAGCTGGGCTGTTCTCCTCACCCAAGGGTTCAGCCCAGCCCCGCCTGCTCACCTGCTGTGTTCTCAGGCGTAGGGTGTGCCAAGGGGGCGTTATTGCTGAGGGAGGTCAGGCCACCTCCCCCACCACAGTCTGAGTCATCCACGTTCCCACCACTATTACAGCCAGCACCACAGCCCTTATGAAGCCTGGGGGTAGGGAGGTAAAAGGATCACAAGGGAAACATGGCTAAGGCCACAGTCCTCAAGAGGACAAGTCCCCAGGCCCAGAACAAATCATCTAACAGCTCTGTGCCCCAGGATCCTCACCTCTAAGAGGTTTTGCTGGCTACTTCCCAAGGCTTTTTGAGGGAGGCATTGTCAACTGTGTTTAAAGGTTAAAAGCTACTGTCACCTCTGAGGATGAGACATTCAAGGAATCAGGTAAGCTCTGGGACAGGGTCATCTCTCAGACTCTAGCACTCCCTCACTCTGGGGCCAAGGAGGGTGTTGCTTCACCTCACTACACCTCAGCTTCCTTCTTCACACCCCATACCTCATCCCTTCTGCAGGCCTCAGGGGTGGTGCTGAGGGCTCACCTCTCCCAGCTGTGTAGGAGCCAACGGGCAATGGCACCCAGGCTGATGGGGCCACCCCACAGTGCCCGCAGCTGGGGGTGACTGCCAGCCAGCGAGGTGGTGAGGGGAGACACGTAGATGGGGTAGCCCAGCGGCTGGTCACAGGAGGAATTGATCATGTTGCGAAGTGCCTGCTTAGCATTCTGAATGCTGCCGCGCTCAGGGTTGCGGTTGCGCAGGAACACCAGCTCCTGCTGCTGTCCAGCCCACAGGCCACGCACACATTCGCGGTTCACCTGCGGGCAGCCATGTGCTAGGGTCAGAGGGCTGGCCCAAAGAAGAGGGGCTGGGCTGGAGTGGGCAAGGCCGTCCCCACCTTGATGACTCGGAAGCTGAGGTGGCGCCGGTTGAGCATGATGATCTTGTACTCGTCAGAGGCATCATCCATGACGTGGCGCAGTGCCAGCAGGGAGGGCGTGTTGCTGAGGATGGCACTGCGCCACGCTGGGTCACCCTCATGAGAGATGACCAGCCGCTCCTCATTGGCTGCAATGGCATCATACAGGGCTGATGGTTCCTCATATTCATCTGGGGATGTGAAGTGGTCCTAGCAGGGAAGACAGGAGGACTGGGTCAGTGGACTCTGCCGGGGAACAGCTTCATCCCCCACCCACCCATGCTGTCTAGACAACCCCCTCCCTGACCTGGTGAAGCTTGAGGGCCATGCGAACCCCAGGCGCCACGACACGATGAAGCAGGTCCATGTCAGCAAAAACCCACTCATCCCGTGGGGAAGTGATGCGAAAGTCCCCCTTGAACAGGGCATGCAGTCCATAGAGGAAGGGCTCCAGACTGAGCAGGGAGGAAGAATAAGAAGGTGAACAAGAAGGGTGGGGAGGCTTGGCGCCTGTGGCTCAAGCGGCTAAGGTGCCAGCCACATACACCTAAGGTGGCAGGTTCGAATCCCCAGCCCAGGCCCGCCAAACAACGATGACTGCAACCAAAAAATGGATAGCCAGGCATTGCGGTGGGCACCTGTGGTCCCAGCTACTTGGGAGGCTGAGGCAGGAGACTCGCTTGAGCCCAGGAGTTGGAGGTTGCTGTGAGCTGTGATGCCACAGCACTCTACCCAGGGGGATAGCTTGAGGCTCCGTCTCAAAAAAAAAAAAAAAAAAAAAAGAAGGGTGGGGAGGAGCCAGGGATCTAAGGCTTCAGAACAATCTGAACCAAGACTCTTCCTCATGCTGGGCCTCAGTTTTCCCATCTTGACAAACAAGCTGTATCTCCTCGTGTCCCTCACAAAGTGGCAAAGAGCAGGCTAAATAATGGCTTGCCTGTGTGAGAAGAGCTACACCAATAGGAAGGACCAATGAGTTTCCAGGAAGAAACACAAAACTCTTCATGGAGGGGTTGGGAGTAGGAGAGCAGTAGGCCCAGCTAGACGTGTGGGCACTCACCTGGCAGACATGCTGTGTGAAGCTGTCCCCAGGGCCCGGCGGCCCAGCACACATAGGCCAAAACACAGCGTGACCAGCGGCGAGTTCCAATCCTGGTCCACAGGCTGCGGCACAAGGACCCCCATCCCCAGAGCCCACTTAAGACTCAGGACAAGGAACTTGGGGTAGGGGCTAGAGCCCAGGGTGAGGGAGGTTCAGGGTGAGAGGAACCTAAATGCAGAGTGAAGTGGATATGCCCAGGTCCCCAGACCCCCAGGCAGGCAGCCTGCAGGTGGTAGCGCCTGACCTGGCTGCGCCGGGAGGCACAGTACTGGATCCACTCGAGGTGCACTGCACAGAAGGAGGGCAGTGAGAGACCAGAGAGGCGAAGGTCATAGTCCTCATCCACACTCAGTGAGAAGGTAGGGTCTGAGTCAGCATAGCCAGGGGCCCGCACGGGTCTCAGGGCAGCTGCGATACCCTCATGGCTCAGCCATGCCTCCAGCTTCGGTGAGCGGCTTACATAGTAGATGATGCTCTGGGAGAGGAGTGGCAGGTGTCAGGGTGGGGCCTGGCCCTGCCCCAGCCCTTGCCATGGGAGAAAGGATCATCAGGGTAAAGAGG